AGTCACGTCTAATTTACATACCTACTGTAATTTTTCCAATGCACTGTGCCTCGATTTATATTCCTTTCACTTGGCAAATTGCCGCTTTTTCGCCCTTTTGTTCCAGTTTGAAAGTTCTAATTATTAATTTTTTGCTCGTTCTAAATGATCAAGAATTAAGGGCGACATCGTCCGCCCGCAACCGCCCTAATTAAACGTGCAGGATCCGTCTCCCGAAATAAATGTCTGTTGCGGAAATCCTACGCCCTTGCCCTTTTGAGACCTCTAATAATCATATGTCCTGGTTATCGCTTATGATACCACACCAATCATAATCTAGCTTATAATTACTAGATATTGCTTTCAGTTCCCGAACATTTACGCTTCCTTGGAGCACATTTAACTTATAACAACTTGATGGAAGCGCTTTAGATAGATTTTATGTACGTTTTAAAACCACGATGGGTAAATAAAAGCTAACTGACCGAGACATTTAATCTAATGGTATCTACTTCTTTGCCTATCACATTTGCTTTGATATTTTCCGATCGATTTATAATAATCTACTAGGGTTATTTCTGGAAATGCGGTCTTGATGTAGAAACGATGTAAGCACATAAAAATGTACTAAAAACGAATTTAATTTGTCTATAGAACTTCCCTAGCCCCTCAAGCACAACCAAAACATTGATTTTGAGATCCTTAAATTACTGGCGATATATACAGGGTGAGTCACTAAAATTATTTTCAACTATACAGAGTGTTCAGTTTTTAAGGAATAACACAACTTAGTTTTTTATATATATTTTTACATGTTCCCATTGACTTCTTAGGCTTTACAACCACAGTCTATTTTTGAAAATCCAATGCAACGTATTTTTTTAGGAAAAAATTGCAATAGAGGTATTTTTAAAATCCGTCTTACAATATTTTGTGGAATCGAAACATCGAAAAATCGAGAAATGGAGAAATTGAAAAATTAAGGAATCAAAAGTTACGAATTCGAAAATCGAAATACCGAAAAATCGGGTACTAAAAATTCGAAATATCTAATCGAAGAATCAAAAAAGTAAAAGTTTGAAATATGAAGAAATTGGGAAATCCAATCCAATTAAAAATTGAAAAATCGAAACACCCAAAAATCGAAAATCGGGAATTCGAAAAAATTTGAAAAATACATAGAAAAATGGAAAAATCGAAAATTAAAGCAGTAAAAATGGAGAAAATAGAAAAATCGAGAATTCGAAAAAGATCAATTGAAGAATCGAAGAACTGCACAATTAAAAAATCGAAAAAATGAGGAATCAAAAAATTAAAAATTGGACAAATTCAAAAAATCCGATAACTGAAAAAACTCTGATGTGACGTTCCAAATAGGGTTTTTTTATTTAAATGTGTTACAAATATTTTGTGGAATTGGAACATAGAAATATCGAAAATCAAACAATCCAAAAAACGAAAAATCGAGAATTCGAAATATCGAATTGAAAAATCAAAAAATGGAAAAACTGAGAAATTAGCAATTCGAGGAATTAATGAAAATCGAGAAATCTAGGAATCAAAACACCGAAAAATCGAAAATCGAGAAATTGATAAATTGGGAAATCAAGAAATTGAAAAGTTGAGAATTGAGAATTCGAAAACTCGAACAATAGAAAAATTGAGGATACTCGAATCGAACAATCGATAAATTGAGGATTCGAAAACTGGAGAAATCGAGAATTTGAGAATTCTAATAATAAAAAACTGGGAATACAGAAAATCGAGAATTGAAAATTCAAAAAATCGAATCAGATAATCAAAAAAATAAAAATTCGAAAAATGGAGATATTGAAGAATTGAAAATCAAGAAATCGAAAAATGAATCGAAAAGTCAAAGAAATTGAAAAAACGAAAAAGTGACGAATCAAAAAATTAAAAATTCGACAAATTCACAAAGAGGATTTTTGAAAAATCAGTCCGATTTTCTTGAAATTTTTTAGAAACTGAAGCGACTATTTTGTGAATACGAAACATTGAAAAATCGAAAAAACGAAAAACTGAAAATTCGAAAAATCGAAAATTGAGAAATGGAGAAATTGAGAACTCAAGGAATCGAAAGTTGAGAATTTGAAAAATCGACTAATAAAGAAATCGAGAAATTGAGAATTCAAACAATCAAAAAATTGAGAATTCGAAAAGTCGAATTGAAAAATCAAAAAAGTAAAAATTCAAAAATTGGAAAAAAACCAGGCATTGAAATCGAGAAATCGAAAAATTGAAACACCTAAAAATCGACATTTCGAAAAAATTAAAAAATCAAGATTAAAACAGCAAAAATTATCAAAAAATCCAGAGTTCGAAAAATCAAAGTAGATCAATTGAAAAATTCAAGAACTGAATGCAAAGCTGAGGAATCAAAAATTAAAAAATGGACAAATTAAAAAATTCTGAAGAGACGTTGCAATATTATTCCAATTTTTTTGAAATTTTTTAGAAAAGGGTTCATGAAAAAATCGTAATAAGATTATTTTTAAAATCTGTTACAAACTTTGGGAACTGAGATACCGAAAAATCGATTGTCGAGAGTTCGAAATATGGAAAAAATTGAGAATTCGAGGAATTGAAAAATCGAAAAGTGGAGAACTATAAAAAAAGGAAAATTTGGAAATTCGAAAAATCGACAATATACAGAAATTGGGAAATCAAGAAATCGAGAAGTTGAGAATTCGAAAAATCGATCAACTGAAAAATTAAGAATTCGAAAAATTGATCAATCGAAAAACTGAGAATTCTAAAAGTCGCACAATCGAAAAATTGAGAATTCGAGCAATCGAAAAATTGAGATTTCGAAAAAATAAAAAATTGAGGATTCGAGAAACTGAGACTTGAGAATTCAAAAATCTATTCGAAAAATCAAAAAAACAAAAATTTGAAAAACGGCGATTTCGAGGAATTAAAAATCGAAGAAATTGAAAAAACGACAAATTCGGAAAAGTCGGATATTTGATTAAAATTCTTATGCGACGTTGCCACGTTAGTCCAATTTTTTTGAATTTTTTTTAGCACTTGAAGAGTTCTCGAAAAATAGGGTTATTTTTAAAATCTCTAACAATTTTTTTGGATTGGGACACCGAAAAATTGATAATTGAGAATTCAAGAATGCAAAATCAAACAATCAAAAAAACGAAAAATGGAGAATTCGAAACGTCGAATAATCGAAAAATCAAAAAATCGAAAAATCGAAAAACCGAGAAATCTAAAAATCAAACACGGAAAAATTGAAATCGAGAAATAGAGAAATTGGGACTTATCAAGAAATCGAGAAGCTGAAAATTCGAAAAACTGAACAATCGAAAAATTGAGAACTCGAAAAATCGAATTGAAAAATCAAAAAGTAAAAATTTTAAAATGGAGAAGAATTGAAAATCGAGAAATAGAAAAAACGAAACACGGAAAAATCGAAAATCCAGAATTTGAAAAGTGGAAAACTCGAAATATATAAATGGAAAAATTGAAGATGGAAGATTGGACAAATTCAAAAAGTGGGATATTTGAAAAACTCTTATGCGACGTTGCCATATTAGTCCAATTTTCTTGATTTTTTTTAGTAGTTGAGGGGATCACGAAAACATCGTAACAGGGTTATTTTTAAATCTATTACAATTTTTTGGAACTGAGACACAAAAAAATTGGTAATTGAATATTCAAAAAATGGAAATCATACGATTCAAAAAAGGAAAAATTGAGAATTCTAAATATTGAATTAAAAAAAACAAAAAACAAAAATCAAAAAATCAAAAAGTCGAGAAATTCAGATTTTGAGGAATTGAAAATCGAGAAATCTAAACATTAAAAGTTGAGAATTCGAAAAATCGAATCGAAAAAACGAAAAACTGAGGAGTCAAAAAATAAAAAATTCGACAAATTCAGAAAGTCGAATATTTGAAAAACTCGTATGCGACGTTGCCACAACGTCCATTTTTCTTCAAATTTTTTCAGCAACTGAAAATTTTGTGGAGAAATAAATAAAAATATGCGCTTTGTTCTGAGATAAATAGCATTAAATTTTAATATACAGAGTGTTCTTAACTTATATTACAGACAAATCTTAAAAATAACCCTTGTATTACTAAGCAAATCCAAGTAAACTGAATATGTCAAAATATATTATCCATTAAAAAAATGTGTAGTAACTTTTTCTGTCTCTAATAATAAATTAATAAGGTATCGAGGACAGTGAGCTTCGTGACTCACCCTGTACATTATTTTCCATAGATGGTTCTCAATAAAATCAACTGTTTGAGTTTTGTTAGACACCCTATATAAACAAGTTTTCAAAAATAGATATATGAAGAAATCAGACATAAAGATGTGAAAGTGACTGTAAAATTGACAGAAACGGAGGACCTACTTTTTCATATTCTACAAGCCACGAAACATCGAGAAAACATTAATCATTCGTCAACCTCATCACAATGTAATAAAACAATCAGATTAGTTTCATTTTTTGAATGATTGTCCCCCGAAATATCCTCCACTTTTCACCTCATTACTTTATTGACCTTATATTCGAGCAAATATTTGCACAGGAAAGCCCGTTACATGTGGATAGTCAACACAGACGGTGGTCAAGAGATCGATTCCCCACAATAAATTTTCAAAGCTATTTGATTTTGCATTGATATCGCAACGGAATTGGTTCGCTCACTGCAACCACACAGACTAAAAATTTAAAACCGTCGGTCGCCACATAGCTTTCTATAAAATTTAGAACGACATTTAACACCGATTATAAATTTTTTTAATCGGTGGTAAATTTTACACGAAACCGCGCAAAGCAATAATCGTGATCGTCGCGCATTAGGGTGCAATTTATTACATAAAGTATATATTTTTTTATAACGAGTAGTTGTAGCCGCTGTGGCTAGTAAAAGGTACAATGTTTGCCTCCATAGTGCTAGCCCGATTGAGCACGTGCGGCACTACGGTTGCAGTTGGAATCAAAGGTCTTATTAATTAGTCATGGGTGCGATGCTTACCTTCTCTGTACCACCTGACTTGTGGATCTGGCGATCCTCCCACGCTGCTGCAGGTCAGCTCCTGTCTTTTCCCCTCGGTGACGGTGACGTGGGACCCGGGAGCGATGGCTGGTTCTTGGGGAACCGTTAACACGGTAAGGGTGTATTTCTGTACATGCAAATTGGCCCCGGAACCTCCGGCCTTAACTTTGCATTCGAAGTTGCCGTTGTCCCTGTCGTAACTGGCGTTGGAAATTAGGAGATCGTAGATACCCTTCTCTGGATGAAAATTCAATCTGAAACGGAAAGTAGCCGTTTAAATGAGTGGGGCAAATACGAACAAGGGTCCAGAATTAATGAATTATAACACCCAAACACGGTATTTCAGGATGACCGGCGCAATTATGGAGATAGCATCGCGCTAAAGCGCGTTTTTAACACCATTGAATTAATTTAACGTAATTTTAACAGGACCTTATCGCGAATCCAATTCCGTAAATATTAGCCGGAATTAAAAAAAACCAATGCGAGAATCGATCTAGGCAATTTTTGTATATTTAGCGCGTAACGACCACTTAAATCTTCGGTTAAAGAAAGCGTGAAACGGCGATAAAGGGCCACGACAACGAGGAAATAAAAAGGGATTCGATCCCGTAAATTATTTTACGTATAAATAAAGTGGAGAAGTCTTATGAGTGCGGAAGTGCAGCGAATTGGGGCAAGCAAATTAATTGAATTTATAAAAGGATTAGAGCGAACGAATTCATACAAAAGAATGGCGAACCCTCAGCGAAAACCACCTTTGGGTAGACGTTCAGGTAAGCTCTTTGTTAGTCGGAGGCGTCCCTTCTATATTTTCTTTTTATGTCTCACATTTCATATGTGCTTTGGAATCTGATTCTTGCCGTCTCGTTTTCTATAAGTTGATTCTTCGATCGTTTGCGGAATAAAATACAATCCTTAATAAATTTTGACGCGATAAATTGAGAAGAACAGCTTGGAGCGACCCAGTTGTTGTAGGTAGAAACGTCGATCCCACGTACAGAGAGAAAGAAAAGGCGGTTTCGCGGGGCGTAGGCAGACGCAATTCAAATCTTTTGAAAACTGCTGTAATAGATCGAGTAACAGCGGGGGTTGGGCGATGATAGAGAATGTTTTAAATGCATTGGATGCATTCTTTGCACGAAACGCGATTCTTTTAATAGAAATCTTTAAGACAACAAAGGGACGACGAGCGAAATCTGTTGCGATCTGTGCAGGAAGAATCTATAATGAAGACGGTTTTATGGCAAAAACGACGGCTGGATGAAAAGTTTAAAAGTTGTAGTATGAAATTGGAAGATCGTCGGTATTTTTGTCGACAATGGCGAAATATGAAACTACAAAAAATGTAGTATTGTGTTTAATACGTGAGAAATCAAATAAATGGATGTTTTGAAACGATATTTCACAAAGATCGATTTAATTAAAAATGTTGTAGTTTGTAAATTTAATATCATGAAGCTGAAGCCAGGGATTATTTGGAAACGGTAAAATAAAATCAATTGACAAAAAATCCTTTTGATGCGATTGCTACACGAAATAAAATGAAATTAAAGATTTGATTGAAATTTATGTAGAGACGGTACACTGGAAATTTTATTTTTGACGTCGGTTATTGTATTTATTTTGTGTTATTTGTTAATCCTTCCAAGGTACGCTTTCCTTTCAACGAGATTTCTATTCCTAGAAGGAAATATGCGTTTACTCAAAAATTATGAATTATGAATATAAAAAAAGTGGTTTGTCTGTCGTCTGTGTCAAGCTTTACCGGACAGATAATCTTCGAAACTACCAGACCGATTGTTGTCAAATTTTGTATGTTAGGAATATCATGTAGATAGTGAAACCCTAACCAAAACTTGGCTCATCATTCCGACCAAGCATTTGACGACGCCATCTCAAAAGATTTTATATTAAAATGCATTAAATATTATTCAATAATATACTCCTACACTATTGCAAAGTCGAATGCATTAAAATCTTGAAAACGTTTTAAGGTTATTGGAAATATGGCTAATTGATGGTTAATCAAAATTTATCCGTTTATGCCCCCCCCATTGTTTGTTGAATAAACGTTAAAAAGTCACATAATCCGTGTTGAATTTTTATCTGAGACATCGCGATTTTTGGGAAAAAATCAAAATTGTATAATTTTTGGATTTACCAATTTTTCGAATTTTCGATTTTTTGGTTTCTTGATTTTTCAACTCCGATTTCTTATATTTTTAATTTTTTAATTTTTCAATCTCCCTATTTTTCCATTTTCAATAATATATATGTTATTACATTCTTCGGTTTTCTAATTTTTCAATTTCCAAAATTTTTGATTTTTCAATTTTTCGAGTTCTTAATTTCTCGTTTTTTTTCTTTTTGATATTTCAATTCCAAATGTTTTCAAAATTTTAAATTTTTCAATTTTTGACCAGGGTTTTTCGAGGTCCCGATTTCCCGATTTTAAAGTTTTTAATTCGGTTTTTTCCAAAAACTTGCACACAAATGAACCATTGTTGATTTAATCATAAAATTAATAATTGATTAATTAATTACTTCAAAATCTCACATGAAAATTCTAGAAAATTAAATTCTGTTATACAATTTTGAATTTTTTGCAAAAATCTACACATAAATAATCATTTTCGATTTAAACTCTAAAATTAATGAATTAATTGATTACATAATTACTTGAAATATCGTGCTTAAACAAATTTAGAAAATAAAAACATCAATTTCGCAAAAATTTACACATAAATGAACCAGTCCTGCTTTAATAATAAATTAAATTAATTCATTAATTAATTAGGTCAAACAACTTACAACAAATTGTAGATAATATAGTTCCTCGATTTCTCGATTTTTAAGTTTTCGATTTCACAATTTTTCGACATTTCAATTTTGGAAAATTTTCAAATTTCGTTTTTTCAGTTTTTTGATTCTTCAATTTTTAATTTTTCGATTCTTCGACATTTCGATTTTTCAGTTTTTTGAACTTTCCATTTATTGATTTCTCGATTTCTCATTTTTTCATTCATTCAATCTTTCAAGCTTTTGTTTTCTTATTTTTTGGTTTTTTAAGTTTCGATTTTTCAACTTTTCCACTGTTCGATTTTTTGACTTTTAGGTATATTTCTTGATTTTTCAATTCTTCGATATTTCAGTTTTGACATGTTTCAGGATTTCGATTTCACGATTTTTTCCTTTTCGATTTTTTAAATTTTAGATTTTTCAATTTATTTATATTTCTATTTCTCGATCTTTCGATTTTTCGACTTGTTGTTATTAGATTTTTCGGTTTTCTAATTTTTCAATTCTTTAATTTTTCGATTTCTCCAGATTTTGACGTTTCGACATTTCAATTTTCCGAGTTTTCAGCTTGTAGATGTTTCGATTTCTCGATTTTTTCATGTTTCAATTTCTTGATGTTTGGGGCCTTTCGATTTTTCATTTATCCAATTTTTCTGTTTCGATTCTTGAATTTTAGATTTTTCAATTTTTCGAGTTCTTGATTTCTCGTTTTTTTTTTGATGTTTCAGTTCCAAATGTTTTCAAAATTTTAAATTTTTCAATTTTTGACCAGGATTTTTCGAAGTCCCGATTTCCCGATTTTAAAGTTTTTAATTCGGTTTTTTCCAAAAACTTGCACACAAATGAACCATTGTTGATTTAATCATAAAATTAATAACCGATTAATTAAATACTTCAAAATCTCACATGAAAATTCTAGAAAATTAAATTCTGTTTTACAATTTGGAATTTTTTGCAAAAATCTACACATAAATCAATCATTTTCGATTTAAACTCTAAAATTAATGAATTAATTGATTACATAATTACTTGAAATATCGTGCTTAAACAAATTTAGAAAATAAAAACATTAATTTCGCAAAAATTTACACACAAATGAACCAGTCTTGCTTTAATAATAAATTAAATTAATTCATTAATTAAATAGGTCGAACAACTTACAACAAATTGTAGATAATAAAGTTTTCGATTTCACAATTTTTCAACATTTCAATTTTGGAAAATTTTCAAATTTCGTTTTTTCAGTTTTTCGATTTTTCGAAAAGCATTTTCTCGATTTTTCAGTTTTTTGATTCTACAATTTCACGATTTTTCGATTTTGTAAATTTTGGTGTTTCTAATTTTTAATTTTTCGATTTCTCATTTTTTCATTCATTCAATCTTTCAGGCTTTTGTTTTCTTATTTTTTGATTTTTTAAGTTTCGATTTTTCAACTTTTCCACTGTTCGATTTTTTGACTTCTCTATTTCTTGATTTTTCAATTCTTCGATATTTCAGTTTTGACATGTTTCAGGATTTCGATTTCACGATTTTTTCCTTTTCGATTAGTGGTTTAATTTTTTAATTTTTCAATTTTTCGAATTTTTAAATTGTAGATTTTTCAATTTCTTTATATTTCTATTTCTCGATCTTTCGATTTTTCGACTTCTCGTTATTAGATTCTTCGGTTTTCTAATTTTTCAATTCTTTAATTTTTCTATTTCTCCAGATTTTGACGTTTCGACTTTTCAATTTTCCGATTTTTCAGTTTGTAGATGTTTCGATTTCTCGATTCTTTCATGTTTTAATTTCTTGATGTTTGAGGCCTTTCGATTTTTCATTTATTCAATTTTTCTGTTTCGACTCTTGAATTTTAGATTTTTCAATTTTTCCAGTTCTTGATTTCTCGTTTTTTTTTTGATTTTTCAGTTCCAAATGTTTTCAAAATTTTAAATTTTTCAATTTTTGACCAGGATTTTTCGAGGTCCCGATTTCCCGATTTTAAAGTTTTTAATTCGGTTTTTTCCAAAAACTTGCACACAAATGAACCATTGTTGATTTAATCATAAAATTAATAATTCATTAATTAATTACTTCAAAATCTCACATGAAAATTCTAGAAAATTAAATTCTGTTATACAATTTTGAATTTTTTGCAAAAATCTACACATAAATAATCATTTTCGATTTAAACTCTAAAATTAATGAATTAATTGATTACATAATTACTTGAAACATCGTGCTTAAACAAATTTAGAAAATAAAAACATCAATTTCGCAAAAAATTACACACAAATGAACCAGTCTTGCTTTAATAATAAATTAAATTAATTCATTAATTAAATAGGTCAAACAACTTACAACAAATCGTAGATAATAAAGTTTTCGATTTCACAATTTTTCAACATTTCAATTTTGGAAAATTTTCAAATTTCGTTTTTACAGTTTTTCGATTTTTCGAAAAGCATTTTCT